GGTTTTACCCCCAAAGCCATCCCGAAGCCCCAGTAATATTTTCGAGTCCTGAAGATCCCAAGAAGTGCGGTTTCCGAGCCGAAGCTCTGCCCGCGAGAAGTTCGATTTTCGTAGAGATCTTCCAGATCTGCTGAGGATTACGACTTCTGCAAGTCGTAGTGTTGTCCGATCATCTTCTGATCAAGTAAGTGTATACTATCTTTCATAAACGCAATAATAATACAAGTATGGTTTCAGGGTATTAAGTTTATTGTCGTTTATACGTGTGAATTCGTTGTTACTTTCTCCTAACGTATAACTTTAAAGTATTTTATACGAGATACGTGTTATGTGTATATTTTGTTGTTATGTGTGTGAATGTATATTCACTTTCTTCTATCTTACAGATATGATTATTTCTATATGAAATACGTGTTATGTGCGTGTGCCTCATCTGTTATATGGAAAATGTTTTGATCAAGCATGCTATATAGGTTTTGAAAATATGTATAAAATGTATGTTTTTATCTACTAATATGTTGGGTAGAACATGGGTAGATAGTTGGTGTGTAATAAACAGATGAGAGGCCTCGTTGTTGTTTGATCCAGTCATCTAGCGGAATTTAGATGACGACCACAGACTTTTCTAGATAGTCATGTGGAATTCTAGCATGCTCATAACCTGTAGGTGTTAATGAACTTGGGTGTTCATTCGCTGTATTCCATCCCCCTCATGGTTGCCTTATTTGACTTATATTGCTGAGGAAACCCCGCAGCATGTGTTGTCACCCCGATGAAAATATTCTTAGATTAGGTCCTTTGTGTTAGTTATTTTAGGGACGTAAAGTGAGAATAACGGGAATGGGTAACTGGGTTATTGTTGGTTGATAATAATTAATTTAATTATTTATTGTGGGTTGAAAACCCTATATGCTCACCAGGCTCCCAAGCCTGACCCACTCAGTTTTATTTGTATTACAGGAAGTGGCGCAAGGGCGTAAGATGGATGAACCATCAAGTTGTTTTGTTTACAAGTCTGTATATGTAAATATTTGTTGAATGACTTGTAATGTTATCGTTTATGCTTATTGGTCTATATCGGAACATGACACCCCGAGTTTTGATTATATAATGAAAAATACATTTCTTTTATGAAATGCTTTGGTAAACATTGTTTTATCATGTTTTGTTTTTGGGAACAAATTCCGCAACTCTTTCAAATCAAAAGGATTTACTCTGAATTTATTTTAAAAGTATAAATGAAAATCGGTCTTTTCTGGCCGAGATTTTGGGGATGTCACAGCTAAGCCAGGACTGATTTGATCTATTCAATTTGTTAGTCATCATAAATTGGAAATTGGGAAACAACAAATAGACAGAGAGAATGATCTATAATCCATGTCTCAATCCATATGATATCTAGAATGGAGGAATATATGATCCCTTATCTAATGGATAAGTCATTGACAAGATCATATTTCAGTTAACACATTAGAGTTCGACAGAAGCTTTTGAGAGCTACGATTGCTAGTCGGGTTTTGAAGTCATACTCAATAATAGTTTTAGACTTATCCAAGTGGGAGACTGTTGGATTAATGTGTAAGCCCATAACAACAATTGTTAATACTTGACCCGACCCGGTATGATCCATTTGGGTTGCATGGCATCAGGGCAATTAGATAGACAAGATGAGGAAAAAGGATACTAGTGATTTATATTAATATATTATAAGTTCTAATATATTAATATATAATCATATTATTTAATTAGTATTTATCAAGAATTAATTTATAATTAATTAAGTTATCAAAAGGAACTAATTAAATATGGATTCTTAGATATATATATATATATATATATATATATATATATATATATGTGTGTGTGTGTGTGTGTGTGTGTGTGTGTGTGTGTGTGATGGGCCAAGTTCATTAAGGTTGGGATAAGCTTTCATTGATAGTCCATGGAGTGTTTAACCCACAGATCATATGAAATGAAGGGTCGTAGGTTTAACCCTAGTCTCCACACTATATAAAGATGTCCTTGGTTGGTGAAATTGGCTCTAGTGTGTGTACACAAAAGGGCAATGCCGATTTCACTAGAGAGAACCAAAAGTATCCTTATTCTCAAGGTTATTCACAGTGTTCATGGTGTTGTGTGAACAATTTGAGGTGTCACACATGGGGCACTAGGCACTCAAGCTTCATGAAGACAAGCTACATTAACAAGGTATGGATTCTAACTTGTTATATTACCCAGGTATCAAAAGATTGTATGCTAGATAGGGTAATACCTTGGAATATTCATATTTTCATGTATAATAGAGAAAACATAGATCCAAGGTATTTAGGGTTGCATGTACACTTAGGAGTGTTAGAATGCTCAAAAACCAACAAGTATATGTCAATCGGTTTACCCTTATTCTGTAAGAGCGCTCTTTCAAGCTTAATGTTTTTTCGCTTTCCTCGGACTTTCCTGTGTGGCACAACTAAAAATATAACTAAAAATTATTAGAAATTGTATTTTATAATAACTGAATAAAAATAATAACTAAAAATTGATAATAAGACTTACCATCCTGCTCATGATGACCAGTTCCTCTATCATCTGGGAAATGTGGGTCCTCAACTCAATCACCCCCATGCATACGACCAATAACAGTAGCCATAGTCTAAAAAAAACAAGAGTCATATGGATGCCATTTCCTGAAAAATTATAAGATATACAGATACAATATTTATTACAAAGAAGACAAACAAAAGAATAGAATTTGGAAGATTTATTTTTATTATTTATTGCATCTTACTTTTGTATATATTTTTTTTATGGAATTTGATTGTGTTTTAAGTTTTCTATAACAACATTATACTTTTATAGCATCTTATTATTGTACTTTTTTATATTTTTATTATTTATAACATTTTTTATCAATTATGGTATTATATTTTAAATAATTATATTTTCTTGTTATTTTCTATTCTACTGGTTTACTTTATGTTTTTATTGCCAATAATAACATCCTACTCTATTAGTTTTTCTCTTTTATAATCCACATTGTTTTTTTTTGTACAAAAAAATGACATTCTCAATAATTGGATCCTACTTTATTTGGTTTTTTTTTACAATCCACATTTTTTTATACAAAAAATATCGTTCTCAATAGTAACATCCTACTTTATTTTGTTTTTTTAGAATCCACATTTTTTTTAAATAGCATTCTCAATAATAACAGCCTACTTTATTTGTTTTTTTTCAATAATACATAATAGCATCCTACTTATGCCAAAAACATATACTCTCACATATATACATTGTAGCATCCGACATACATCAAATATGCATACATATACCACATATAGACCAAATACATATACATTCACATACATATATAATATCATCCTAGTTATACCGAAACCACATACTTTCACATAACACATAATAGCATCAACTACACATACTTTCACATACATATCCCACATATACACCAAATACACATACATTCTCAATACATATATGAAGTACACATTAGCATCATATTTATACAAAAAAACACATACTTTCATATACATATATAATAACATCCTACTTCTCACAAATACACAAATTACCACATACATACACCATATTCATGTACATATATCAAATACACACATATACCTCATATACACAAAATACATATACATTAACATAGACATTATACAAACATGCATACAACAAATACACATTTTCACACACACACACACACACATATATTCCAAATTGAAATACATATATATCAAATGCACTTATATTTTGCAATTAATATCAAAGATCACAATAAAATAGAACCCGTATTAGCCAGAAATCAACAATTGGTGCGATGGTGGTGGTAATCGTCGCCAGTGATAGCAACATCCAGCGGTAGCCACGGTCGTAGTGGAGGAAAATGTATGTTAAAACAACTTTTTAGCAACTAATCATAAATACAAGTAGAAATCGATAGTAAAATAAAAGGAAAATAATAAATGAGGAAGGAAAATAACGAACCAAGGAGGAAATCGACAACAACAGTGCCAACACAGTACTTGGAATCGATAGAATGGAAAAAAAATGTCGACCTTTAGCGGCAAAATAACAAACCAATGGCCTATTGGCGTTGCCGGTATGTGTTCTTTCCTTTGGGAAAATCGATTGAGCGAAAATCATCGGACGAAATAAAAAAATTGCACACAGAAATGAAAGCTGAAAGCAGGAAGATGATCTGATATTTGTGTCGACCTTTAGCAACGACAATCAATATCAGAGACAATTACCCTTTAGCGGCGGCAATAATTATAGGTGACAACTTAGGATGGAACTTATGTCACGTCGTATTTTTTGCCCTTTAGCAATGAAATTTTGTCTGTATTGGGTTTGTAGGAAAACGAGGGCCCTGTCATTAGATTAGATAGTCGATCGGATAGTTGAGCTTTACCAGAAGTGAATACGGAGGATTCGAGGAAGAAGGTATTACCGGCAAAGCGTTTTTAGCAGCGACAGAGTATTGCATCACCACTAAAAGCCCTTGCCGCCGCTAATTGTTTTGCCGGTAATGCCTTTATTTCTTGTAGTTTGTTTTTTCCTTTTATAATTGTTCAAGATTATCATTTTGCTTAAAATGAAAAACATATATATAATCCATATAATAATGCTTTTCAAATTCATTACCCAAATATAAAAAATATACATGTCTATATAGTCTATAGAGTTGAAATTACGTTAGTTCATAAATGAATGAGATAGTGTCTCTATTCATTAACAAATTAATTTGTAGTATATTCTAATAAAATATATTCTAATAAACTTCAACATGGATGGTATATGATATATATAAATTGAACATGGATAGATTCTGATAAACTTCAACTATATAAATTATCAACGTGGGCATATTCGAACAAACTTTAACAATATAAATAGCCACTTATGGTCTCTCAGGTTTAATACCTTGCATAAGAGAAAAAAAAAATAAACATAAATCCCAAGACAAAAGCAGAGTTGCGATGACAAAAGGGTGGTTCTTTGGGTGGCAGGCCGTGGCGTTCTCCTATCTGTTTATAATATTTTTCACAACCCTTGTGACATCACAACCACAAACTAACCTACTACTTAGATCATGCAGCTTGCTGAACTCGAGGAGTTTCTTCACCAATCTGAATCAGACATTTAGGGAGGTCAGAAGACAGTTATCCGACAACAACACCTACTTTGCAACTGCTGAGCAGTCTCGCAACAGGGAACCCGTCTACATGATGGCACAATGCAGACTTTATATGTCAACGGCTGACTGCCTTGATTGTTATGATGTGGCCACTTCAAATGCACGTTCTTGTGCAGCTGCGACTGGTGCCCGAGCTGTTCTGGATGGCTGCTTTCTCAGGTTAGTAGTTTGCATCCCTGCTTTCCTTAATTTTACAATTGTATCGTGTAGTGGGGTTGGTACGCTGTTAGTTTATAGATGATTAAAGATGAAAGTTTAGTTTGGAAAAAAAGTTGCAGTTCCTTGATTAATCATAATCAAGAATTGTTTCCAAAAAATAGACAGAAAAAGTGGAGTTTCACTCCTCACCAGCCGCCTCTAACCAAATCCAAAACGAAATCCTTGATCAAAGCCAAAAATGAAAACCAAATAATATAAAAGATGCAAAAAATTAAGTTCGTTGATGAATCAAAATCGATAATTGGTACCAAAAACTGTATACAGAAAGTTGAGTTTCATCGATAGAAGCCACACACAAAATCAAATAATATAAAAGATGTAAAAAATTATTTCGTTAAAAAAAAAAAAAAAATGTTAATGAGTCCCACACAATAACCATTGGTTGCATAAATTAGATACAAAAAAGTGGTGTTTCACCCGTCATCTCGAACCCAAAATAGCAAAACATTGATCGTCAGACATAAAAACAAAATTAATATAAAATGTGCAAAAATGATAATGTAAAAAATAGAGTTTAATAATCAATCCCATTCAACAATTGGTTGCAAAAATTAGATATTAAATAAACTAAATTTTAAAAAAATAAAAATAAAAAATAAAAAATAAAAAAGTGGAGTTTCATCCCTCACATCTAGGGATGTTAACGGGATCAAACAGGAGCGGAAATAGTTGTCCCGTCCTCGAAATCAGTTGTTGCCCCTGCTTTCGGATCCCCCGTTTGCATAGTCCCCGGTCCCGTCCCTGGTTATTTCCATCGCCCTCGGTCCACTGATTTATAGGCTTAAATTTCGATATTTTTGTTCTAAAAAACTGCTTTAGGCTAAAAATACTATTTTTAATAACTTTAAAAACTTAAAACCTAATCTTTTAGAAACTATATATATATATATATATATATATATATATATATATATATATATATATATATATATATATATATATATATATATATATATATATTACAAAACGATAATTCCAACAATATTTCAGATATAAAATACGACAAATCCAACATTACAAATATAAAATACTTACATTTCCAACAATATATGATCAATTCACTACATCTTCAATATCCATTATTTGGGAATAAAAAAGTGAAAGAAAACCTAAACTTAAAATTAGAAAATCTATTTTCTATATATATTTTATATTAAATATATATATTTTACATAAATGTATAATCGGGTCCCCTGCTGGAGTACGGGACAGAAATACTAACTCTCGACCCTGATCCTAAGAATTAACAAGGTTTAATTCTGCCCCCACCCTTGCTCCCGCTCCGGGTTTTTTTAAAAAAAACTTTAGTCTCATACGGTATCGAGGTCCTACAAGTCTCACGGGGGTTTTTGACATCCATGCTCATGTCTAACCAAATCCAAGACCAAATCATTGATCGTAACCTGACACAAGGATCAAATAATATAATAGATCCATAAAAGTTGAGTTTGTAAAAAGATGGAGTTCCTTGGCAAATCCAAATCAATATTTGGTTGCACAAGCTACATAAAAAAATAGAGTTTCAACCCACTTTTTTATATTATACACTGAATGAGAATGATCGATATTTATTCTAAAAATGCATAAGGATGATTTTAGAGTATCTCCAATTCATTTCTATTAAATTATATTAATTAATTATAACTATAAAGTTTGGTTTTTTCTTCATACTTATAAAAAATTTAAATGCATAGTGAAATTTTAAAACAAAATAATGTATTTACAAAACCTTATAATTAAAATATATATTATAAACACAATAACATATGATATTAAACATATGTACAATATTTATTTAAAAGTGTTCATGTGTAATATTTCTATAAATGCATATATATTATTTATTTATAAGTGTGTAATAATATAATCTTATTTATTTAATATTATTGTAATGAAAAAAATATAGATTATATGTTTATTAAAACCAAATTAATATAAAAGTGTATGACAATCTATGTATGTTGATAATATGAAATATACTGCATATATATATATATATATATATATATATATATATATATATATATATATATATATATATATAAACTAATAAAAAAATATGATAGAGTTAGACATGAAACAATATTTATTTTATTTTTTACTTTATTTTTCGGGAAAATGCAAGTGGGTTCGAAATGATCTTAATCAGTGTTTGGAAGTGCTTCTTAGATTGACTTATTAGTTTATTAATTTTTTACAAAACCAATAAATTAATATATATATATATATATATATATATATATATATATATATATATATATATATATATATATATATTTTGTTCAAAAAGCCTATTAATATGACTTTTTAGCTATAGAAAAAGAAAGAGTTATAAAAAATGAATATATATATATATATATATATATATATATATATATATATATATATATATTGTTCAAAAAGCCTATTAAAATGACTTTTTGGCTATAGAAAAAGAAAGAGATATAAAAAATGAAAAAAATCATGGCTTAGTGGCTTTTTGGTGACTTTTAGTCATTTTACCGAGAAAAACTAAATCAAACATTTTTAAAATAAACTTATTGATTTTTTTTTTTCATTATAAAGTTAATTCAAATATTTTTTAAAAACTCATTTTGCACAAAGTTATAAATCAATAAGGCTAGAAGGAATAATGTCAAACTTATCACGGTCTATATAGGTGACACCTAAGATTTGACATACTGTTTTATATTTTTGCCATTTACAGGGCTCGGTTGACACTCTAATTTTTTATTATTAAATTAATTAATTTTAAAAGTTAAAATTTATAACAATTTATTTTTAATAAAACCTAAAATTTCATTAAACTACAAAATAAAAGTACAACACCAAAAAAATACAACATACAATTTAAATTTACTAAACCTAGAAATTTAAAACACAAAACATATAAATTTAAATAATGGAAACCTGGATATTATATTTTTTTGTACTATTTTTTCTTTGCTTTTAGCACCATTTATTTTCCGTATCCGGTAAGATTGCTAGTGTTTCTTGTTAAGATCATCATGACAAAAAAAAATTCTTTCACATGTGCAACCTTAAAATATTGCTTCAAGGTCGACTTCAAGTTATCAATTTGGTTGTTGGATGGGTGTCACCCGAACCACTTTCCATCGCTTTTCCCCTTCACTTCATTTGCTCTCTTCCCATAAGACGAGTGGCTCTTGGAACCTTAAAAGTCTCATCTTTATTGAAGTTAATTCCGACATACGCATCGGAGGGTTGACTATGAATTGTTTCAAATGTTTTTGTTCTTCTAGAAGAATCATCTGTGAACATTTCTAAACTTTCGATATATTGCCACTCTTTTTACATCTTCACGATGCACGTGAATAAATTTGAAAGATGTCCCTTTTTTATTCCGGAAAAATGGTAGAGCTTTTTGCAAAATTGATTCGACATTTACACCACATTGTGATTTTCATAGTTTAAAACACCACATTAAACATCGGCACAACTTTATGGACGTTTTTCCACTTCAAGAAAAATTTGACCTTTTTCCTATAGTCTTCACAATTCATTTCCACGATTAAACGCCTAGTAAATTTTTAGAAAAAAGTGGTCGGTTCATGGGTTTTCCTGACCTTCAAATCATCAGACCCATCTATCCACGCATGAGCCAACATCGTTTCGTCCTCCATGGTTTGCCTTTCCTCTTTTCGTGGGTTATGGTCGAGCCGCTTTCGGCTCCAAATCAGTTTCAGGCACAACTTCACGTTGTGAGTTTGGAATTAGGTTTGGGTTTAAATTTGGGTTTAGATTGGCGTGGTCAAATGTGTTGAAGACATTTTCCCTTTGTGATTGGGTTTGATATTAGAAGTTCATTTCAGGTTGGTTATGAAATTGTGGTCGGCTTTGGAATTGTAGTTGGAAGTGGAATTATGATTTGTTTTAGAATTGTAGTTGATTGTGGACGCGATATGAAGCACCACCGGAGTGGAAATTACGTGGTGAATAAATATGTTGATCACTTTGACTATGGATAAAAGTGCATGATGAAAGTGAGATTGAATCTGTGTTAATTTCGGATATTTATTTGTTTGTTTGTTTGTTTTGGTATTTTTGAAGTTGCTAGGGTTAGAAGAGAAAGCCATTTTTCACAAAAGTAAGAGTCTTTTAGTTAAAATTTGAAGAATGTAATGTTGTATGAAATGTGGTAGTTAGTAGTATTTATATGGGTTTTAAAAAGAGTAAAATTAGAAATCTTTTTGAATAAAAGTAGTTCAAAAAAATGTTAAAAACTGTCAAAATTTCATAAAGATTAAATATCTCTCTCTCCACCGAATTGCCACACCGAACTTGGCATGCCGAGTATGTGGCCCGGTGTTCACCGATCGCCCACGTCAGTTTTTGCTGACTGAAACCTAGTCCAGTTCGTGAAGCCTAACGACTTTTCACAAAAGCACTTTTAAGATTAAAAAGTGCTGCTAAATATATGCTTTTCTTTTCCGTATACAGGTACGATACTAGACGTTTCTACGATGAGTCAACACAACCAGGAAATGTTGGCTTATGTGGAAACCGCACTGCAATTAGGCCAAAACGTTTCCAAACAGCATTGGATGGATTGTTATCAAATCTCACAATTGCCACTCCTAGAATCAAGGAACTTTTTGCAGCCTCCTCTAGTAATATTGCTGGTAGCAATAAAAGTGTCTACGCTATAGCACAATGTGCACCAACATTGGCACCCAACGGTTGCAAGGAATGCCTACAGATGGCATATTCCAACATAATGAATTGTTTACCTTTCGTTGATGGAAGGGCACTAGATACAGGGTGTTTTATGAGATACTCGTCCACACCCTTTTTCAGCAAGAATAAAACCACTATCATTGAACCCTTTCTTGGGCAAGGTAAAACCTCTTATAATTATCTACTAAATAAATCTCTAGCGTTATAGGAGGTGCTAACATATTTAAATGTAAGATTCGAGCCATAAGGGAGTTATTATTGGGGGAGTTCTTGGCAGCGTAGGCTTACTGAGCATCATTCTTCTGGCCATAATTATATGGTGTCGTCGATTGAAAAACAGAAGCACAAAGAAAGGTAAGTAGGTTCAACTAACTTTTAGTCCATATTTATGAAAAAGTTATACATTTTGAAAATAATTCATCATTATATATATCATATGATTTTCAATGTACCAGGTTACTTATATGGGCAAAGTGATAGACTACAAGATCCATTGAAGTATCGTTACCGTGATTTAAAGAAGGCAACAAAGAACTTCTCCGATGATTACAAACTTGGAGAAGGAGGATTTGGAGAAGTATACAAGGTTAGTTTCTGTAGGTTTAATATTTCTATTCTCGTCAATTTATTTTAGGTTATGTTATTTAAGTAGAAGACGTAACCTTCCTTCTGATCTTCCATTCGACTAATTTGGCCATATATTCGATAGGGTGAGGTAAAGACTGGAAATACAATTGCAGTGAAAAAGCTACTCGTTAGTAGTGCAAATGCGGATTTTCAGAATGAAGTACGAGTACTTAGTAATGTCCATCATCGAAACCTGATACGCCTTCTTGGGTGTTGTAGTGAGGGACCAGAGTTGCTTCTAGTCCTTGAGTACATGGAAAATGGAAGCCTTGAAAAATTCTTATATGGTTAGATTTTGTTTCATGCAATCAAGTTATAATCTTTGACATTATAATGTTATCATCTTTCATACGTGTAGAAGTTATGTTTTATTGATTTTGAATACATAGGTGAAAGAAAGGGAATTCTTAACTGGAAACAACGTTATGAGGTTATTTGTGGCACAGCGAAGGGTCTTGCTTATCTACATGAACAATACCATGTGACAATTATCCATAGGGATATAAACCCACGCAACATTTTACTTGATAAAGATTTTCAGCCAAAAATTGCAGATTTTGGACTTGCAAGGCTTTTACCCGAGGAACAAACCCATATTAGCACTAGAGTAGCCGGAACATTGTAAGTCAATTTATAGTATATATAATATTAATCAACAACAAAGTAATTATGAACAAGCAAAACATAAAGATATCTTATTAAAACGTACTCATATATCTTGAAGTTGCCCATTTCTCACATAAATTAGTAGTAACTAGTTTTGGATATGCAGTGGATATACAGCACCAGAATATGCTATTCATGGACAGGTGTCTGAGAAATCTGACACCTACAGCTTTGGCATCGTCGTACTTGAAATTCTCAGCGGCAAGAGGTGTAGTGATGTGTTGGACTTGTCCCATCCAGATCAATACCTTCTTGAATATGTATGTTCAAACAAAAATAGCAATAAATAATATAACCATTAATTCCATTTTTTTTTTTTTTGGATTTACGATATTCTTTGATGTATATGTAGGCTTGGAGCGTGTACGAGAATCAAGTGCCCTTAAACCTTATTGACGAAGCAGTTGACCGAAGTGAGTGCACAGAACGTGATGTGATGAAAATCATAGAAATAGCATTGATGTGCACTCAGTCAGTGGTTTCCGAGAGGCCAAAAATGTCTGAAGTTTTAATGCTTTTAAATGATCGATCAGGAGACCACAAGCCACCAAATAGATTGCCTTTCAATGTTTCATATTTAAACGTTCATGTTGATGATCCCTCATATGTTGCTTCAAGCACATCAAACGCTGTCGCATCATTGACTGAACTCACGGGTCGCTAAGTTATTACTATATTGCAATAAATTATCTTGTTTAAAAGATGTTTGAAGTTGTATGTTGATTTTGCGGTAATTTTATTAATAGTTTTTTCGTTTTTTTTTTTCATTTATTTGGTTGTTGGAAGTAGTTTGTATCATTAACCTGCATGTGTACCTTACATCCTCTAGTATTTTACAGTGGATTCTATGAACCAAAGATTGCATTTCAAAATAAAAGATATGAATGTTTTTTGATATTGTCGCACCTATGTGGAAGAATGAAAATTAAGTGGGCTGAGAAGTGCTATTTTGAACTAGTCTTTGCAGAAGGTTTATTAGGACTTGACAAGAAAATAAACGACAATAATAATAGAAAGAAAGAAAATATATCATAGGAGAAAGGAAAGATAGGATTTTTAAGAAAAATCTGATTTTGAAATAATTCCAGCTAAGTGTTCTATACAACTATATGTAATTGATCACGAATTAGTCCCTAAAATATGATTTTTTTTTTTTTTCTTTTTAGTTCGAACCCAACTTAAAATGACCAATTTGTTAATTTATTTTTATTTTTTTGTTATTCTTTTAAGAAATTTATGTTATAAAAAAGGAAAATAAAATTCCACTCACCCTCACACCCTCCCCTCTCTATTTGTGTATCTCTCTCAAAAACAAAATCCCACCGGTTGTCGGGTCATCACCTCCGCCCACTACCAGATAAAATCTTCTTACCTTTAGTCGTCGCCGCTACTTTATCTCCTACTACCATCAGTCAACATCACCACAAGGTAACCAGAGCACATTTATTTTTGTCCATCTTCTCCATGTGCATACAAGGAGTCAAGGAAATCCAACAATGGTATGAACGCACACATATGAAATTAGTTTTCAAAATTTGATTGCCGTATGTCAATCATTTCCCACCATTATTGGACCTCCATCATCGCCATCTATACTCTATCACCATTTCTCTCTCAATATCTTTTGCATGTCTACTTAGATCTGCTTAGATCCATCAACTCACCTTCATCGTCCCTACGTTCAGTTTAATGTCACCCTATCATCTTATCTGGCAAATCGAAAAGAGTGATGTTTGTATATCTACAAATCTAATTTTTACTGAAAATCCATAGAGCTTTTAAACGATGGTGGAGGCAGAGCAGAAGTTCAATCAAACATAGTGGAAAACCGAAAATTAACTTTATAATTTGAATGAGACGGAGCTCCCTGTAGAGGAAGAGAACAACGATCAGACGTAAATCCTAATTTTCCCAAAAACGAGCTCATGCGGACTTGGAAAAAGTTCTGGTGGTAGATGACGTTGACAGTTGTTTTAAAGAGGAGGATATTGTAGAAGCTCCACCATTGTCTTCCATTGTAAGCCAAATTCCAATCAGTGGTCATAAGATATAGGATAAAGAGAACCGGAGGAGAATAATTGAGGGATGATGAAATCAATGAACGAACAAGTGGGAGAAAGAGAGAGGGTAAGTCGGGTGGTGGCTAGATTCAAGAAACAATAACGACATAATGTGCAAGACCAAGTTCCGATAATGGCTTTGATGCATCAATATGAGTGGTGGCTTAATGTTTGTACTTACGTTAGCACATTGCCACATCATTATTTTAAATGCCGCATCATTTTTCTTTCTTAGCGACTAACTATTAGCTTTTGGTAGGGAGTGGTGGTATGTTAAATTAATAAGGTTTATTTGAAGAAAAAAAAGAGAAAAAAAGAAACAATAGCTATGAACAAATCATAATCAACCAATACATCTTCTCTCTCTTCTTTCCTCTCGCTACTTGCTTGGCGACTAATTCTTAACACTTCCCTTGGCAAATCCAAAAGGGTGGTGTTTGATATGTTAGCACCTTGTTTGGCAAGAGGAGTGGCCAGTCCACTCCCTCAAGCCTTATGTTTGCGTTTGTGTGTGTTTTAAAAGGAGATAAAAAGATGTACAATTGAGTAGTAGCAGGCAGAGAAAGACCCTTTCCTTTAATTTTAAATTAATTTAAACAATAATATTTATATAAAAATATAAAAAACCAATAAAAGGATTATAATACTCATTTTCAAGTTGATAGGGACCAAAACTAATAAAAAAAAATTCATTATTTTAACATTGGTGTATCACCAAAACGTTTTGGACCAAAACCACAAATATTTGCCAACCATAGGGATCATTTTTGTCTAAAATATTAATTATTACTTTTAAATAATATTTTTAAAGATATGAAATATTTATAAAATTTTTTGGAGGAAATTGATGTATTATTAACTTTATTTGAGTTTCATGTAAAAATAAAATGATTTCGGTAACAAAATTAAATATTAACTATTACTTAAAATTAATATTTACATATATATGAAATATTTATACTAAATTGGTAGGGAATTAAGATATTATTAAATTTTAATTTAGTTTCTTGTAGAATTAAAACGTTTTAGGTAACAAAATAAAATATTAACTATTACTTATAATTAATATTTTTTTTAGATATGAAATGTTGATAATAAATTGGGAGGAATTTGAGATATTATTAATTTTGTTTGACTTTCATGTAAAAATAAAACATTTTACATAACAAAATAAAATATTAACTATTTCTTATAATTAATATTTTTATTGATATGAAATATTTATAACAAATTTGGAGAAAATTAAAATATTATTAATTTTATTTGAGTTTCATATAAGAATAAAATGTTTTAGTTAACAAAATGAAATATTAACTATTAGTTATAATTATTAATTTCGTAGATATGAAATATTTATAATAAATTGTGAGCGAATTAACATATTAATTTTATTTGAGTTTCATGCAAAAATAAAACGATTTATGTAACAAAATAACATATTAACTATTACCTATAATTAATATTTTCTGTAGAAATGAAATTTTTTTATTAAATTTGGAGGAAATGAAAAAAAAAGTATTAATTTTATTTGCGGTTCATGTAAAATAGAACGTTTTGGTTAGAAAAGTAACGTATTGACAAAATTGCAAAAATGGTTCCTATATTTGTCAAAATTATGTGATTTTGGCTCAAAAAATATTATTGGTTTTGGATACCTTGTGTGATATTTGTACATATAGTATGTATTTTTTTGGTGTTTTTAGTCCATACCCATCTTATAATGACAAATTATAGTACCTATTTTTTGGTGGTTTTAGTCTATACCCAACTTATAAAGTCTAATTTGCACTTAAACAAATATTTTTCTATTTTTTTATTTCTCTTATTATTCTTTGAAGACATCTAAATTTAAAAAAGTAAATGAGACAACCCCCCCCCCCCCCCTTTCTATTTGTGTATCTTTCTCAACAACAAAATCTTACCCGTTGTCGGGTCATCACGTCTGCCCACCACTGGAATAGATTTCCTAAGCTTTAGTCATCGCTGCTACTTTATCTCCTACTACCATAAATCAACAGCACCACAAGAAAGTCCTAGCACATCTATTTCGCCTCGTATCGTTTATCTACGTACTATGGGATCCAACAACGATAGTAACACACACATATGAATTTAGTTATCAAATTTCGATTGTCGTATTTCCATCATTGCCCACCATTAACGGACCTCCATCATCGCCCATCTACACTTTATCACCAATTCTCTCTCCATATCTCTTACACATCAACTCAAATCTGCTCAGTGCCATCAACTTAGCTTCATTATCACTACTTTTCGTTTAATGCCACCCTATCATCTTCTCTGGCAAACATGAAAGAGTGATGTTTGTATATTTATAAATCTAATTTTTACTGATAACACACGAAGCTTTTAAACAATGGTGGATGCAGAGCAAAATTTCAATCAAACATAGTAGAGCACCGAAAATTACCTTTAGAATGTGAATCAGATGGAACCCTTGTAGAGGAAGAAAAGATCGATCCTAATTTTCAAAAAACGAGTTCAGGTAGACTTGGAAGAAGTTCCAGTGGTGGATGATGTTGACGATGACTTTAAAGAGGGGGATTTTGCAGAAGCTGCACCATTGCCATCCATTGAAAGCCAAGTTTCGATCAGTGGTCATAAGATATATGATATCGAGATCTAGAGAAGCATAATGGTGGGGATGATCACTGCTACAAAAACACCCTTTAATGAAACATATTATGTTTAATAAAGCCATAGATGACACGCAAATGTGTGTCAAGGAAGGCCCTATCCTAAAGAAAGATGACACACATTTGCCTGTTGTAACCTTACGACACGCATTTATGACGCTCTCTTATGACACACAACACGTGTCACGTAAAGCCCTGTCATAAAGAAGAAGACACACATTGGTGTGTCGTAACCTTGCTTGCATGTCATTAAATCCCAGTCATAAAGAAAACGATGCACATTTACGACTTGCATTGAGTATCATTAAAGCTCGTATCAAAAAGAAAGACGACTTACAATTTTGCATGTCATAATTTGAAATTTTTTTAAAAAGTATATAATTTGATAGATTTAGTAATTTTCAAATTAAATAACACACTAAAAGTCTCATAATAAAAAATAAAATACAATAAATAAGAATGATAATTCATTGCAGTAATATATCAAATTCAAATAATCATTCCAATAGTAAGTAGTGTAACACATTGCTAATATTACATAATATTTGTTATAGAAAAACAATATATATATATATATATATATATATATATATATATATATATATATATATATATATATATATATATATATATATATTTGTACAACATTAAAAGGAACCCATGAGTAATTTTTTCCTTTGACAATCTCCATGGCATATTTAAGTCTTGCAACCTCGCCATTTGAAGATGCATCAACCAATGTCGACCACTTGGATGTTATTTTGCATGATTTTGATTACGGAAATTTGATAAGTTAAGAATATGCAACAATATTGATGTAAAGACATAAATGCCCCTACCTTGTACTCTCTTAAAATGATTATGTTGGAGATAATTTTCTTAATGTAATAAAAATTAAAAGTGTTTTTCTATATTTTCTTCTAGGGAAGACATGGAAACTATGAAAA